AAAACTATTCAAGCTAGCGTCTGTATTTTTCCTCAAGAATTGTTTCGTGAATCGTGTAGATCATTAGCATTTTTTTTACTGTTGTTTTTCGAGCTGTTTCGTAGTACAAACCGATTGCCATTATTGTTCCGATTTTTGTTTTATCAGTTCCGCTTTTTTAGGTCCCATAATTATATGGTTGTTTGTTTTATCAATAGATATATTTAGATATATTCTGTTTCGTAATGTGGTTATTTTATTACTGTTACGTAAACCCTTAATATATCTATTGTTTCAAAATTGAGATAATCACAATAAGATATAATTTTCAAAAATATTTTACCGTTTGTACCTTCTAGATTAAATAGCAGAAATATTATATCCCCATAGAAAATAGAAAATTATCTGGAAATATTTTATTTTTTTAAGGTTATTTATATCACCAGGTCTGAATACAATATAGTGCACGATTAAATATTGTTGCAGTAAGGTTATCTCTTTTAGATGCACGGATTTTAAGGGTGATAAATATAAATTATTATTATTTTGTTATTTATTTATTTATTTTTAAAAAAAAAAGGATATAAGTGGTCCCGGTTATGTGTATGGAGATTATGACAATTAAGGCAATTTAGGCAATCAATAATATTTTATTAAGGCTGATAATATAGAATCGGAACAATTATGAAGATTTTATTTAAAAAGATTTTGTTAACAAGAAAATGATTTTTCGTGGAAACAATATCCAGAAACAATATATTTAAAATGTTGGATTTTACGTGGAAACAATATCCACATTTTTAAAATGTTGGATTTTATTTAAGGCAAAATAAATTGTTCCGCCACATTTTAAATATGTTGTTCTGATTATTATATTATTATGTAGTATATCTATGCTGCATTTTAAATACATGCGGCTATTGTTATGATTTTTATTATATTTTAAAATTGCTTAGCACATCCGATAACGATATAAGCAAAATATTATTTTGATACACAATTTTAATAATTGTGGTTGACAATGAGTGGAATTCTTCTTAATTGACAAATGTAATAATTTTTAGAAACACATGTTGGAAAAGTGTTTCATGTTGTTTGAGCATGTTTGGTTCATGAGTTATTATTGTTGTTTAATAATTATTATATGTTAATTACCTGCCCAAAGAGAATTTTTAATATATAATAATTTATTACATGAAGATAAATATTATTGATGGGATATGTAATTGAAAATTATTTATCTGTCCAAAGGAGATAAATTTTTTGAAAATTACATATGATGCTTTTATGTTGGAATTAAGGAGATATATAATTTATAAAATTTATCTGCCCAAAGGAGATAAATTTTAGACAATTATATATAATTCTCGCAGTTGTTAAATCTTAATGTGATGAAAAATAGTTATATATTATAGTCTATGATATTTAATTATTTTTGTTATTGTTCATGACTAATTTATTACATTATATGTATAACTTTTGGTGATAAAAATTAACTTGTGTTAAACTCTATCAGTTATTAATTTTATTTTATTTTTGGATATATTTTGGTGCACAATGTATTGTATGCTTCTGCCTAAACTGCTTAAAAAATTATGAGGAATGCTTTTAGTTATCTCATGCAATTTCCTGCCCAAAGGGAGTTATTGTGTGTTTTAATTGGAAGCTTAAGTGTAATAAAATTAGTAGAGGTGCAATGGTCTAGGTGATGTATCTGCTCAAGGGGATAGATCTCTGAAGCCAGTGTATGCTCATTAATTGATTCATCTACATAAAAGTAAGTGGGAGTAAATATATTTTCTTAGTACTTTATGTAGATTGTAAGATGTTGATTTATTGAATAAAATAATAGCCTTTTATCTAAAAGCTTTGATAAGAAAGACCTTAGAGTAGCTTCTTTCGTGTATAGAACATGAGTTTAAATTCTTTTGATTTTATTAATTAGTGGGAGTAATACTCAAGGCTTGCTTTTGAATATTTTAGATTCTTTTGATTCCTTTGGTTAGTGGGAGTCGTATTCAGTTTGTTTATTTTTGATCACTTTTCTATGCAAACTGATAATTATTTTGTGATATTTGTTGAAATTTTCCTAATTGATGATCATCATCATTATTATTTCTCCTGTCGACTGAAAAATATATATATGAAATAATATCTTTAAGCATGTTGTGAGCTTAAAGGTGATTGGATGTCACAAATTTTGAGATCTCATGTTTTATTGTGACATATTGGTTTATCCAATCTGATCAATTTCATGTCGTTTGGAAATTGTGTTAATTCAATTTTATGTTGTTTAGAAATTGTGGTAATGCAATTTCATGTTGTTGAGAAGTTGCATTACAAAGTGTAATTTCATGTTGCTTGGAAATTGCACTAATGTAATTTCATGTTGTTGAGAAATTACATTGAGGACCGATAAGAATTAGCGTGTCACATTGTTGATCACATTTTGGCACTAATTCTTACTACACTACTAGGGAAGGGAATGGGGTTGCCGATTGGATGGCCTCTTTTGCCTACTCCTTTGATTGGTCTTTACAAGAGTTTGACTCGCCTCCTTCTGGTTGTCGTGACAAACTTGAAAGGGACTATGTAGGAGTAGTTTGGTCTAGGAGGTGTTCCTAGTTTCTTTTTTTTGTTTTTCTGTTTCCTGTTTGCTTTTCAAAAAAAAATACTTGTTGTATGTGAGTAAAGAAGGTCATATGCCATGATATTTTCGGTATATTGATCGCCATATTCATATGATGAGGTTATGTTGGATTGAATTGTTTTGAGATGCTAGAATTGGAATATTGTTTTTAAAAATTGTGACCACGTAAAATTATATTTTTAGTTATTAACCCGATAGAGTCATTTTTGAAATAAAATGATTTTCAAAATAATATTAAATTAATTAATATAGCCCAAGTGGAAAAATGTTAGAAATTTTATTTTATGGGCAATATTAATTAATTAGTTTTGTATTTTAAAATTAATCGGGTTAATGGATATTCCAATATTATTATTGTAACTAGCTTATTGTGATCACATTGATTTGGACTTCTGGCATATGTTGTTATTGAGCTTAGTTGGGCAGCAGTGTAGGCTTTAGTGTGACCCTGATTTCCATGATGGGTGGATCAGTGGACACAAACTATTCTCTAAGTTATTAGCTAGGTCCCCTCTCTAGCCTATTTATGTTGGAGTTAAGCTCCATAAGTCATCATGCTCCCATCGCTGAGGCTGTTTTTATCGAAATAGGTGATAGAGAGGAATATAGTTCCTTCTTTCTTTCGGCTTTGTGATGATCCAACAAGGTACACACAATCCCAAGTCTGATTTCATATTGTTTGGTATTTTATAATTATATACATGATTCAAGGTTAAAACTAAGGGTTCGCTTTTTCTGCAGTTACTGCAGATAAGTTATCTGCAGTAAGCCCAATACGACGTCGTTTTGGGACGAAAATCATGGTATTTTTGTAATTTTAATTTATTTCAGGGTTATAATAGTCTTTATATTTATATTTTTTTAAGATTTCAATACCAAAACGATGTCGTTTTAGGAATAAATGCAGATAACTTATCTGCATTAACTGCAGAAACATTTTTCCCTAAAACTAATTCTAACATGTGGACCTCTTGGGCTACGCTTTATACTCATATAAATTGTATAGTGAAGGAGAAATGTCAACTTTTTATTTGCCAATACTATTTTTATAGCTTACTAAGAAGAAGCAAGCAATCCTGAAATGGAATTAATGCTATTTAAAGCACAACTTTGTGCTCAAATTCCATCTTAAAAGGCAAATATTAAAAAACTTTCAAAAATTAAGAATGAGAAATCTTAAAACTTAAAAGACATATGTAATGCAGAATTTATGGTGCACAAACATTATCAAATGACTGGATGAGTTGAAGACGAGCTAAACTAATTAAAACCGGATAGTAAAGTTAGCTAACACATATAAACAAGCATACATTGGAAAATGAATTGCTAACAAATTCATGCAAATCATGCTGATAAGCAACGATGGTTGGAAACAGACTGATTTTCCTGAACCACCGTTGATCATATTTTCATCTGACGGTTCTAATTTATTAATTAGATAACTTATAATGCACATAATGTAAAAGAAGAAAATAAAATTTTTATTATTGTGTATGACATTAGTCATTACTCTACCGTGTTGCCGCTCAGCACTCGAAACTTCACTGAGCAGTGCACGGGTACATGGAAAGGAAGCGTCACTAGTCATCCCAATGCCACGTCATTCAATCAGTTAATTTTGTTCGTCGTTAGCGGTTAGTTACAAGCAGTTATAAGCTTCTTTGTTACTTATACACCAGATCCTTTGCATTCCCTTCTCTTTCACCTCTTGTCGTTCAATTCCCTTAATCTCTGTATTTTCTTTTTTCTCTTTCTAAACCTCTTTTGCATCTTCTTTTCCGTGCTTCTTGTTAACAATTAAAGTGGAAATGTGAGTGTGTGTGTTTTTTCTTTCATATTGCAGTTGTGTTCTAATTTAGGTTGACCCATTGTATATGGCTCAACATTGATTCAAGAAGCTCGTAATCAATTAGAGTTGTGGCTCAATTGTTGAAAGAGACAATGATTTGAAATATAACAAATTACAATCGAATCCAAGTCCCAGTAAAGCAGCAGATTGTGATATGTGTTGGAGGAAAAGAAAAGCAACATATTTGACGTTATTTGAGATTAAAGATTTGAGAAGTATTTTGAATTATTTATTTGTAATTTTTTATTTATTTTTAGATGTTAATTACTTTTGTATTTATTTTAGAATGTTAGATTTTTGAATTTTGAATCAATTTGTAATTAGTTTATGAAAGGAGGCTTATGACTCTTATTCTAGGAGTTGAATTTTGTTATTTGATAATTAGAAATTGAAAACCATATGGTTACTCTTTTGTGAAATCTTAACTGCTTAGCCACTTTTCTATGCATCATGTTCTTTCTTTCTTCCAGTTTTTTGATCTTTGAAGGAAATTTTGTAACGTAGATTTCAAATTTCATCAAAATGGACATGCGTGGAAATGATGATCGTTCCCCAAAGGAATCGGGAGGCTCAAATCATATCACTGGTACGTGTTCTTTCCCCATTAATAATAAATACTATGGTTTTATTATTGTTGTAATTAATCTTAACAGAAGTTGCTAAATTGAGGTTGAGCTTCAAATTTCAAAATCTTGTATAGGAAAAAATAAACTGCTTTCAGGAGAGGCAGGTGATACTCCAGATTCCAAGGTGATGACTAATTAATGTTCAATCTTGAATGTTCTTTGTTTTGAGTTGAAAGATTGTGAATCCTAATAATGTATTTGTCAATTTTCAGAAACCAAAGCTCCCAAATGATTCAAAGGAGGAAGAAAGACCTTCGATCCATCCATTGTCAGAGATGGAGCAGCCTAAAGGAGTCGACACATTACCTGAATTAGTGGGCAGGTTTTTTTTTTTTTTTTTTTTTTTTTTTTTGTCTCCTAATTTAGCTTCTTGTTTTTTTTTAATGAGCAGTTCCTAACGTATTACCCTTGGTATAATTAGTTTACATATTTGGTTTATAATTGATACAAAAGCTGAGTTGTACATTCTTTCTTCGTTTTTCTATGCAAAATTAAAAATGATATCTATTGAACAGAGTACAATCTCGATTGGTTTACATAATTCGTTTACTATTATTCATTTTATTTCCACAGTAGTCATCCTTCTCGGGATGTTAGCAACCAGGTCTCGAGGCAACTATTTGGGGTATGTTCCAATCCACCTACATAATATAATAAAGAGTCACATTGGCAAACTTATGATTGGCATAACATATATATATATATATATATATATATATATATATATATATATGTTGATATTTGCAGGATAGCACCGGAGTTGGAACTAGCCAGGGGAGTGGTGAGGATTGGGTCGTAGTAAGATCAATTCAGCGTTCACATGGACGTCCTGAAAGAAGTTTGTCATGAACCTATTTTTTTAGTTCTTTTTCTATTTATGAGGGACTCTAGAAATTCAGCTTATTATCTTAGTGAAAAATACGAATGTGATATCTCTCTTTGTGCCTCATTCTTGGTGCTTTCTTGAAAATACTCTGTTATTACACACAAGTCATATACCTCCACTATTAGTTGATTCTATAAAGCGGATTTGGAATTTTTTTCTTATATCTGTTTCTTTCTTAATAAATAATATACCGGTGAATAAGATGGTATCATATGGTTTTTCTGTTACACATACTGTCTTACATTGTCGCTAATCTCTGAATATTCAGTTTTTTCGTAGGATGCTGGATAAAAAGGTGCATTTAGTATATGCTCCTCATATGGATCAAAACAATAACATGAATATTTATCTTTTGAAAATATTTTGATTTTTAAGGATGATCAGTGCATGTTTTCAAGATATTGATGATTAGTTTATCTTTGCAGAAGACAAAAATAGTCTCAATCTGGTGCGAATAGATGGATGGCGCCCTTTGGGTGTAAGTGATGGATATGATTTTGGAATCTTAGGAGTAACAATTCTGTATTTTATAGTCAGTTATTAGAAACTTCAATCCAATAAAGAGTGCATACTATAAATGTAAATAATGGAGCTATTTTTTCATTTATTAGCTAGAAATTGACCAAGATGTCACCTGCTCTGCAGCCCGCTGAATTAGGTATCCGTATGCTTGACGAAACGTCAACAAATTTTCTGCAACCGTCACCGTCGTTGATAACACAAATTGTGCAAAAATTCCTTGTTGAATTAGACGCAGGTAAATTTCTACGTTGGCTCCAAAGCCTTTCAAAAGATTTAATAAGTGATTATTTTAGACATAAATGTTGGAAACCTTGGGTTGAGATTGCTCGCAAAAAAAATTGTTGGAAACCTCAATTAAGATATTAAATTTTTATTCAATTCTGTAGGTGAGTTTTTGTTCGAAGAAGTTACTCGCCATCATCAATCAAGCATAAGCGAGAATTTTTTGTCCTGCCATTTTTCAGCGGACGGAAGATTTTTGGCATGTGCTGGACATGGGAAGAAGGTAGTTCAATTCAATGTGAATAAGTTCAATTCAATGTCCCATTATTTAGAGCTTATTGTTTTTTTTTTTTTATAATGGCAGGTTACAATTTGGAACAAGGAAGATTCTAATTTTGCCATTACAGAAAAATCACATTCAGATGTGATCACAGAAGTTCGATTTCGTCCAAATCACCGGTCAACTATGTATGCTACATCTTCCTATGATCGAACTGTAAAAACATGGGATGCAGCCTATGTAAGTTGTTACTTTTTCATCTTACTATCTTTCTGTATCTATATTTCGTAAGTAGGCATGCTGGACCAATAACTCTTGTTTGATATATATATATAGCCGGACATTGAATATGCCACTCTTAATGCGGATTTTGGCTATCCAATATTGTCATTGGATTTCCACCCGAGAGATCGTGACTATCTTTGCTGCTGCGATGCTAATGATTTAATTCAGCTGTGGAATGTATATCACAATGCTTACATGAAGAGCTTTAAGGTGAGTTTTACACATTTCATCACTGAGGTTGAGCGTTGCCGAACTGCTTAATGAATAATTTCAAAATTAATGATGATCACGAGGAGAATGACCAATATAGTTTTGTTTAAAATATATATTTACTAAAATATATGTAGTTTGGAAACTATTTATTTAAGTAATATAAATTTTCTCTTTTTATCATTTTTGATCTAGTGGACGTTTCGAACATGACACAAGTCATCACCATATGATTAATACATGTTAAGTTTTTGAGTCCCATAGTTAAAGATATAATTTTTTTTGTCAAATTATAACCTTATGTCACACTAGAACAGCAGGAATCGACTTATAATAATATATACTGCAGGGAGGTACTCAACAAGTTAGATACCAGCCTCGATTTGGGAAGCTTTTAGCTGCAGCTTCAGGAAAGTTTATCAATATATTTGAAACAGAGAATTACAAAATCCGGAACAAACTAGAGGTTAATTTATCATCTTTCCTAGTTTCACTTGATTGAAATGTAGATTTTGCAACATAAATAATTAATATATAACATGGCTGGATTTTCATTTACTACCAGGGACATAACAAAGAAGTTATTTCCATTTGCTGGGATCAAACTGGAAACTACATTGCCTCAGTTAGTGAAGATGAGGCACACTTCTGGTCCGCTGCCCCACAAGGAGGTTTACTACATGTTTTGGCTTGCAAACACGGGAAATTTGAGTCGTGCATTTTTCATCCTAAATATCCTAACCTCGTAATTATTGCTGGCCATAAGGTAAACTCTTTATTCATCCACTATGTATGCATTTGAGCATAAACGATCTGAATAAATGAATACATAGCAAACTGATAAGATAAATTTGTCCAGAATTCATTACAGTGCCTGGAATTTTGGATTCCTCAGAGAGAGCATTCATTGAACTTTTTTGATGGTGGTGATGGGATATTTACTGGACTAGCAACTTCACCCCAAAATCAAAGGGTTGCCTCAATTAGCCGTGATCGCGTGAAACTTTGGAAAATAAGTTCCTAGGTGTAAATTTTCATGACTTTTGTATGATTGAATTTCCTTCATTGCTACATTTTTTGGGTACAAGTTTACTTGCAGTCTTAGAGAGAGAAAAAATAAAAATTACAATATTGTGCCGCAGACTAAGGCCAACCTTTACTTGCTAGACACATTTATGTTCTTAGTTGTCTATTCAATACTTGAGATTTTTTTGGTACCTCATGCGCAGTAACTTATCAAATACAAGATTCCAACGTACCGAAGCTTCCAAATAACATTGTGAGGCATCGGTTAAGAAAAATTAGCTTTGAGTTTTGGTGTACCTCAATGTTGAAGGTCACATAATTGTGGACTACATAACTTGACACATGGTATCTGACGTGTTTTATTCTTTCACTCTAACTGAAAAAAAATACTTGAATGTTTGCAGGAGACCCTAAGTGCTAAGTGTTTTTTTTTTTGGGATTGATTGGGGAAGTGTGGGTGAGTAGTTAATAATATCATCTTTGTACAAGTTTGAAAAAAATTAATCCAGTAAAATAAGTTTTCTAGGATTTGTCATTTGTGTGTATTTTGTGATGAAAATTACTGTTTTAAAATACCACTTCCAATGTGGTATTTTGCGATTACTAGCTAAGTGAAGAAATATCATTTCCCATCAATATTTTACTTTTAACCAAACATATAAACTCAGAAAATTAAACCCAATTTTTTCGCCTACCAAACAACTTTTTTTTAATTTTCCTACCAAACTCATTTTCCTACCATATATTCCTAGTAATTGTATTTCTATGGTAAATTTTTTTTCTTCTACCAAACACCCCCTAAAAAATTTATAAAACTCCGTTATTAGAAAAGTCACATTTTTCAACGAAATTTTTTGACCAAAAAAAATATGTTAAAGATATTAACGGATTTATTGACGGAATAAAGAAAGAAAAGTCTTGGGACGGAAAATGATTTGGGGTGGGGTGTATTGGATTGAGATTTTAATGGATTATTTTTGGACAAAGAATCTATTAGTATTCAATTTAGATTTTAAAAGATTGAAAAAAAGTCACATGGTATTCGATTAAGATTTTAAAAGATTATTTTAGAATCTGTCCAAATCCATTAGTATTCTATCAGGATTTTAAACAAGGAAAAAAATAATCTTGTGGTATTAAAAAAATCTGATGGTTTTAGTGTAATTTCTGTTAGTGTGAATTTTGTGAGACTTTTTAGTGAGAACTATAAATAAAATATCACTTTCATAATCTCACCCTAACCCCTAAGATTTATTGGGATTTCTCTATTACAGTGTTTTCTTCTTTCTTTGACAAGTCGACCCGCTTGAAATCGATTTCTGCCATAGGAGCTTCATAAAAACTAAAAAACAACAAATTTTTTAGTGATTTTCATCACAAAAATAACAACCAACAAGATTCTAATCTAATCATCTAAAAAATAACAGATTTTTTAGAGCTTTTGGAAGTATACAAATGATTTTTCAAATTATGGATCACCATTTTTCTTGCCACAAAAAATATGATTTTTGTATTAAAAACAATATAAAACAGTAGGAAAACAACAGTGAAACAAAAACCCCCAAACTAATTTCGTCTTACATCAATGAAACAAGATCGATTTAAAGAAAGATTGAAACTTTCATAACATGAACTCTATGTTTCGTAAGAATACATTCATGAACGAAATTCTTTCGCTATATGAAATGATTTCAAACAATTTTTGTGTCAATGAATCGCTAAAAACTTGTTTTTCAAAATCAATTGAAAATAATTCAAACTTTTTTATAAACTTTCATGTAATAAAATCCACAAATTCATATTAGAAATTTTCTTAGAATACTCAATGAAAATATGCATATGATATACACTTAGAATACTCTCATAATGTAGGACAAAAACCCAAAGGTTTCCAAGATCAATTGCAAAACGAAATTTTAATATGAACTTTAGGTTCTATAAGAAAATTTTGAATTATTTTAGTAAATAAAAAATTTGTGGGTCTTATAATCATATATGTATAAATAACAAATGAAGAAAATAATTTTTAACCCATTGGTCAAACCAAAGAGTAAGAACAAGGCTACTGTAGATATGTGAAGAGTTGATGCTTAGTAAGAGATCAAGTTACATCAAATTATTATTGATTGAGAAGATTATATTAGGTTTTAGTTTTTTATTAGTATCATTGCATTTCTTTGTTATTTTTTTATTGACTCTTGTAATTTTGAATGTTTATTAAAAATTCATATGATTTTTTACAATCTTATAAATTCATATTGCCCTTTTAAATCTTATAAACTCATATGATTTTTTAGGTTCTATAAGTTATTCTCACCTATGTTGCTCTGACACCGACACAGGATATATAATAGCCCTAGCCTAATTAATTAGTAAATTACATGTAATTAAGTAATTAAGCATGTATTAGTGAGTAAAATTAAGTATAAGACCTAATTAAATGAATTAGGGTCACTTTTGAAGTAAAAAGTGCTGTCAGTGAAAATTATGGGATAAAAATAAGTGTAGGCAAAAGTACCCAAAATATAAAAGTAAAATTAGAAATATTCCTAGAAAAATATTTCAGACCTTTGGGTAAGGTTTGAAAGAGAATGGAGCTGTATAGATAAATGAGCCCATACCCAGTGGAGAAAACTTAACTAAGTTAAGTGCAAATGAACCAAATGAAGTTTCATTTCTCTTCTTCCATCAGACGAACCCGTGAGAGAAAGAGAGGAAGGGAGAAAGCATTTTGGAGAGCAAACCCTAGCCACTCCATTTCTCAACCATTTTTAGTGATTCAAAAGCCTAAACCACTTAGAATCTTCCTCTCATCCATAATCCTAGCTTGGTTTTGAGTGGGGAGCATTGTGGTGTGAGATTTCTTTCTCCCAAAATTCGACCCATTTGATGATTGGAGGAGTTTGAAGGTAGTTCTTTCCATGTGAGCTTAGGAGATCAACATCCCTTGGTTGTGCAACCATTTATGGTAAGTTTTCACTCCTTGAACTTTATTTTCATGGAGATTGCATGGTTGAGGAAGATGATGAATAGTGTCATGGTGGGTGGTATGAGTTTGGGTTTGATTTAAGCTTAAGCCCTTTGTAAAAGTTGTTGTAAATGATAAATAAACGGTAGAAATAGATTTAGATTTTCATTTGGTTGTTGTTCAATATATTGGAAAATTTCATGGTTGGACATGTGGAGTTTCTTGCATTGTTGAACTATTATTTGGTTGGATATTAATTGTGTCCATGTGATGGCTAGGATTGAGGCAATTGGACCAACTTTGAGTGACCACACATTGGAGCAAGCCATGGAGCTTGATTAGCTCATTTGAATTGGTAAGTTCATGCCTATTGTGGTGTGAATATTTTTGTTTGGTTGATGACAATTTTGGTATTCATTGGATTGTCTTGATAAATTGTCTAGTACCTTGATGTAGGTATTGATTATAAAGCTTGATTGTTTGAGTTGGTGAAGAACAAAGGTTGAGATTGAAAGCAATTGAGGTAAGCCTTCAGACCTTGGGAATTGATCCCTTTATTGTTCCACCAAGCCCAGAATGGGTTGTGGTTATTGATAGTGTTGTATACGCAATAAGGTAGTTTAATGCTTTGTTATACGTATGTGTATGCATTTTGTGTGGCATAGGATGGTGTTTCCCTATATTTTGTATGTTGCATGACGATGCGTAATTCATACTTAGTAGTTTAGCTGGCCAGTATGGCTATTTTGCATCTGAGTATCCTTAGGACAACATGAGAGCTCGAGGGATGTCTCACGGAGATGTCTTTACACACTGCATGAATATGCATTTACTGCATTATTTACTATTATTGCTACTATACTGTGAGTGAACTATGGGGTGGAGAGATGCTCCAAGGACCCCTGGTTTACTGAGATGTATTTATATATCTGATCCCGTGTTGTGGGGACCCCCTTTCAGGTACAGATGCTGTAGGAGCCTCTGGTGGCAAGTGGCCATACTTGGATTAGATTGATGCATGAGGATATTACATCATTTTGTTTATGCATGTCATTTTTTAGTTCCTATGTATAGGATTTATATTTGAAAGCCATTTGTTATATGTATGTCATTCTTTATTCTGATGGACTTAGCCTATGTTTACCTCCTTTGGTGTCTCGTTTGTTGATGGGGGCCAAGGAATTGATCATAGTGTTTTGTAGCTAAGTCTTATGGTTATATATTGAAGACATTTAGAGATTGTAATGTTGTACTTACTATATATATATGATGGAAGAGCATGGGTGCTTCTTTTCATACATGTCTACCCTGAAATAACTAAGAATCATGTATTGAAGTGGTTGTATGTTGTCCATTAGGTGAGAGAAGACCTTTAGGATGAAAATCCATGTAAAAATAAAGATATCATGTCTTGTTGCCCATTTTTAATATCCTATATGATAGATTTGGGCCCTTTTGTCTTAATGGAAGTTGTATATCTTTTTCTTAGCTTTCCAACGAGACCAAGATTGCGTCAATCAGATAAGTATAACTCCAGTTAGGGGTAAAATACTAAGGCTAGGTGTAATCTCCAAAACTTTGGCGCTAACCGCGCCAAGATACAGTGGGAAAACGCATTCCCGGCGCCATTTGCACCATGTTGGTGCTGTTCGCGCCATAAGTCTGGGAAGCTTCTGTTTCGTGGCGCCTTTCGCGCCGGTCTTAGTGGGTTCAGCACTCGTTTCGTAGAAAATTCATAATTTGGGCTACGGTGCTCTGATTTGAGTGCGGTTTGAACCTGCGCGTAGATAACGAAGAGATCTATAACATATTGAAAGATGAGGACCATATAAGTAGTATAAAATTTCTTAGGTAACTAAAAAGTGGAGGTGTTTAGTGTTGAATAACATTAAAAATGAGTTTTAAGCCCTGGGTGCTCTAAAGGGACTACTTGGCACACTATGGTCTAAATTAAAATTAAAATAGGTATTCCATATATAGTTTAAGTTATACTCACATTATGTGAATTGTTTTAATTACAGAATTGATTT